GTGCTGGCAACAACCCAGAAGACAGACAGACACAGCTTTGAGCAGTGAGGCTCGGGGCACGGGGCACTTACAGTGGAGGGCAATCCATCTTTCCTGACCCCGCAGCTTGGCTTCCCTTACTTTAACCCCAAAATAGCCACACAGAAGTTATTTAACACTACCAACCTTCTCTAAATATAAGCTAGAGGGCATGCGGGCTTGCAAAGATCTGCTTAAATACAAGCATACCCTGAAAAGGGAAATCTGTCTTCCAGCTATGTGAGGATGAAAAAAGTCAGACACGATTATACTGAAATTACACTGTTCGGAATAGCCCTTGTTCCCCCAAGAACTGGGACTGCAGCATCATTCTGGAGGTCTGGGGATTTCTTTTTTGTCAGTCTTGAAACTAATTTGCAAATTAGTCAATTTTCTCAAAAGAAAGAATCTATCATCAGATCAAGCACTTCTGCTAAGAAACAATTCCTATGACTTTAGTCAAAATGTTACTTTGTTTATTTGCTAGTTTTGAGTAGGTATCACTATATAACCAGACTAGCTTGGAACTCCCTCTGTAGCCAGATTGGCCTAAAATGCGACAATCCTCCTGCCCAAGATCCCAAACTCTGGGATTTCCAGCATTCACAACCACACCTATCTTTACATATGACTTTTGTATTTCATTATATGTTAAGATGGGATTACAAACTCTAATTCTTGAACCACTGATACTTTCTAAACATAACTTTTCGCTAGAAGCTGGGTATGTTGGTGCAGGCCTATAATCCTAGCACTGAGAAGATAGAGGCAAGAAGATCAGGTGTTCAAGACCACCCTCTCCTAGAGTTAAGGCCAACCTGGGCTGAGACCCTATGTCAAATAAACAAACAAAAAAGAACCCAAAAAGAACAGTTGTTTTAGGCTGAAAAACAATCAGATTCAGTTCATATCAATATATTTACTTAATATGTATTTTGTACCAAACATTACTCTGAGAGTGGAGGAACCAATATATGTATATGGTCTCAAGGGAGTTGATCTGGTTGGGGAGATCATACCACACTCTCAGTGTGATCTACTGACAGCCAAAACAAAAAGCCTTGGTATTGCTGAAAAAAAAAAAAAAAAAAAAAAAAAAAAAAAAAAAAAAAAAAA